GACCATGTCCTTTGCCCTACAAAAGCTTCTCAGTTTCAAAAGGTCTCATTTATTAATTGTTGCACACAGTGTCTGTGCTCCTGGTGTTATATTTAGGAAGTGGTCTCCTGTGCTAATGAGTTCAAGACTCCTTCCTACTTTCTCTTCTATCAAGTTCAGTGTAACTGGATTTATGTTGAGGTCTTTGATCCCCTTGGACCCGAGTTTTGTGCATGGTGACAGATATGGATCTTTTTGCAATCTTCTACATGTTGACATCCAGTTATGCCAGCACCATTTGTTGAAGATGCTTTCTTTTTTCCATTGTACAGTTTTGGCTTCTTTGTCAAAAATCAGATGTTCATAGGTGTGCACATTAATGTCAGGGTCTTCTATTCCAATCCATTTGTCTACTTGTCAGTTTTTATGCCAGTACCAAGCTGTTTTTATTACTATAGCTCTATAGCAGAGCCTGAGGTCAGGGAGAGTGATGCCTTCAGAGGTTGCTTTATTATACAGGATTCTTTTAGCTATCCTAGGTTTTTTGTTTTTCCACATAAAGTTTATTGTTCTTTCCAAGTCTGTGAAGAATTGGGTTGGGATTTTGATGGAGATTGCGTTGAATCTGTAGATTGCTTTTGGTAAGATTGCCATTTTTACTATGTTAATTCTACCTATCCATGAGCAAGGGAGATCTTTCCATTTTCTGATATTTTCTTCTATTTCTTTCTTCAGAGACTTAAAGTTCTTATCATACAGGTCTTTCACTTGCTTAGTTAGAGTTACCCCAAGGTATTTTATATTATTTGTGGCTATTTAAAGGATGATGTTTTTCTGATTTCTTTTTAAACCCATTTATCATTTGTATACAGGATTGCTACTGATTTTTTTGAGTTAATCTTGTATCCTGCCACATTACTGAAGGAGTTTATCAGCTGTAGGAGTTTCCTGGTAGAACTTTTGGGGACATTTCTGTATACTATCATATCATCTGCAAGTAGGGAAAGTTTGACTTCTTCCTTTCCAATTTGTATCCCCTTGATCTCCTTTTGTTGTCTTATTGCTCTAGCTAGAACCTCAAGTACTATATTGAATAAATATGGGGAGAATAGACAACCTTGTTTTGTTCCTGATTTTAGTGGAATCATTTTGAGTTTCTCTCCATTTAATTTGATGTTGGCTGTTGGCTTGCTGTAAATTGTCTTTCTTATGTTAAGGTATGTTCCTTGTATTGCTGATCTCTCTAGAACCTTTATCATGAAGGAGTGTTGGATTTTGTCAAAGGCTTTTTCAGCATCTAGTGAGATGATCATGTGATTATTTTTTCCTTTCAGTTTGTTTATATGGTGTATTATTACATTGGCAGATTTTCATATATTGAAGCATCCTTGCATCCCTGGGATGAAGCTTACTTGGTTATGGTGGATAATTTTTTTGATGAGTTCATGGATTTGGTTTGCCAATATTTTATTGAGTATTCTTACATCAATATTCATGAGGGAAATTGGTCTGTAATTCTCTTTCTTTGTTGCATCTTTGTGTGGTTTGGGTATCAGGGTTTACTGTAGCCTCCTAAAAAGAGTTTGGTAATGTTCCTTCAGGTTCTATTGTGTGGAACAACTTGAAGAGTATTGGAATTGGTTCTTCTTTCAAAATCTGGTAGAATTCTGCGATGAAACCATCTGGTCCTGGGCTTTTTTTGGTTGGGAGACTTTTAATGACTGTTTCTATTTCCTTAGGGGTTATTGGTCTATTTAAATAGTTTACCTGGTCTTGATTTAACTTTGGTATGTGGTACCTATCCAGAAATTGTCCATTTCTTTCAGATTTTCCAATTTTGTGGAGTACAGGGTTTTGAAGTATGACCTGATGATTCTCTGGATTTCCTTGTTGTCAGTTTTTATGTCTCCCTTTTCATTTCTGATTTTGTTAATTTGGATGCTCTCTCTCTCTCTGCCTTTTGTTAAATTTGGATACGGGCTTATCTATCTTGTTGATTTTCTCAAAGAACCAACTCTTTGTTTCATTGATTCTTTGTATTGTTCTCTTTGTTTCTATTTCATGGATTGCAGCCTTCAATTTGATTATTTCTTGGTGTCTATTCCTCCTGGGTGTGTTTGCTTCTTTTTGTTCTAGAGCTTTCAGGTATGCTGTTAAGTCACTAGTGTGAGATTTCTCCATGTTCTTTATGTGAGCATGTAGTGCTCTGAATTTTCTTCTTAGCACTGCTTTCATAGTGTCCAATAAATTTAAGTAAGTTGTACTTTCATTTTCATTGAATTCTTGGAAATCTTTAATTTCTTTCTTTATTTCTTCCTTGACCCAATGGTAATTCATTTGGGCATTATTCAGTTTACATGAGCTTGAAGGCTCTCTGTAATTTTTGTTGTTGTTGAAATCTAACTTTATTCCATGGTGGTCCAATAAAATACAGGAGGTTATTCCAAATTTTTTGTATCTGTGGAGATTTCCTTTGTGACCTAGCATGTGGTCAATTTTAGAGAAGGTTCCATGGGGTGCTGAGAAGAAGATATTTTTTTTTGTGTGTTAGGGTGGAATGTTCTGTAGCTATCTATTAAGTCCATTTAGGATAGGGGTGGGATGGGAGTAGTTGTGGGGTGAGAGTGGGGAAAGGGGAGAGGGGGGAACAGGGGTTAGCATGTATAAGGAAAAATTTTTTAATAAAAAATTATTTTAAAAAAGAATTCAAAGGGACCTCAATACCTCTTGATGGGGTTGGAAGTGATGCCAACAGCCGGGGTGGGAATCTTTCCAAGTCCAGCTGAGACAGGCTGATGGGACACTAGTGAAGCTGCAGCTTACTGGACAAATTCTAGGTGGAGGACTGTGGTGGTATTGTGTTCCCCAAAATATTGTGCACCCTAATAAACTTATCTGGGGTCAAAAAACAGAACAGCCACTAGATACAGAGGCTAGAAAATGGTGGCACTCACACCTTTAATCCTAGCATTCCAGAGGCAGAGATCCACCTGGATCTCTGAGTTCAAGGCCACACTGGAAACAGCCAGGCATGGTGACTCACACGCCTTTAATCCCAGGAAGTGATGGCAGACAGCAGAAAGATATGTAAGGCATGAAGACCAAAAACTAGAAGCTTTTGGCCTGGTTAAGCTTTCAGGCTTTTGAGCAGCAGTTCAGCTGACATTCATTCTGGATGAGGACTCAGAGGCTTCCAGTCTGAGGAAACAGGATCAGCTGAGGAATTGGCGAGGCAAGGCGAGGTGGCTGTGCCTTATTCTGCTTCTCTTGTCTTCCAGCTTTAACCCAATACCTGGTTTTGCATTTGATTTTGTTAATAAGACCTTCTAAGATTTGTGTTACAGAGGACTGAAGAGAGGACTAATCAGGGTCCTAGTGTTGAGGTTGGATGAAAGGAAAAGAGCAAGCCTGAGAGCTCTATACCTATTGGGACAGTAAGATCATGTTTGAAACTGGCAAGTGGGAGATGGTCTCTACTGGCAAGCTTGAAACTGGCAAGGTCTCTACCTGTTGGGAGGGGATATTAATGATGTGGCAGAAGGGAAGTTCCAGGCCAGCCAGGCATATGCATTTGAAGCCTCTTGGCTTCACTCAGGGCTAGTGGACAGCACTAGTGAGAGGAGATCACCAAAAACTAGGCCTTGAAAATGCCACAATGCAAATGTCAGGTTTGGTGGTTTGTCTAAACTAAGAAGAAAATGGCAAGCTCATCCTGACTGAAGATGTAGAATTGCTCCATGCATCAAGTAGTAGTTGTGTATGAAAAACCACCAGGAGGATGTGGGTATCAGGTCAAAGTTCTTGATTTGAAAATGGAGGGAGTAAAGTCAGGGAGAGAGGGAGGGAGGGAGAGCTGGAGAGAGAGTGAAGGTCAGAGATGGAGGGAGACAGAGTGTGTGAGAGAGAGGCAGGTGGGGCAGACAGAGAAGCACAGAGCAGAAGAGAGGAAGAGAGAGAGACTGTTCCCAGTCTCTGGTCGTCCACTGTAAGCATCATGGATGGCATCACTAGGTTTAAATACTGTCTAGTTGCACAATGCAGTGAGTGGACATCTCCTGCTGAAGTATCTAGAATCACCCGGCCTTGCCTAAAACAGCCCACCTACGTTAGAGGAAAGGGAGCTTGTGCTAAATTGAAAAGACCCGCTTTTCAACTCTGGTGTTCTTTCTCTGAAGTTGTGTGCCTTAAGCTGCTCGTGGTCTCCTGTCACTTTCTTCAGGATCTGATGGACAGGTGGACAACTTGTGTCAAGGTGCCCTCCCTGCCTCTGACTTCTAAAGCTCACCCTACTTCTGTCTCAAGGGGTGTTGGGAGGAACTCACTGGGGTGTAGCCCATACTAGATTGTTCCTAGAGGCCAGTTAGGTCCTTACTCCCTAAAAACAAGCCTTGTATCACCCTTGGCAAAACCTTCTTTCCTTGTTCCAGCTACCTGATTCTTCAGTGGAAAAGGATCCCTTCTCTTGCCTGCTGGTTACTTACAAAATACTTGTACTTTACACGAGGGACATTTGTGGAGGGTGAGATTCCACCATTCCAATAAGGACTTGGGATCTGTTAGGACATAGGGTGGTTGTAACCAGTTAAATAACTTGCAAAAGACAGTAAGGTGTTGACCCAGGACAGAGATGAAGCAGGCAGATTTCCAGGAGTTTGAGTCCAGCTAGAGGTACATAGTCATTCCAGTTCCAGCTTGGTCACATGGTCAGAAACTGACTTTAAAAACAAACACAAATAAACGTTTTAGAAAGATCAGATATGATGGCACAAGCAGTGAATCCTAGCACACTGGAAGCAGAGGCAGGTTGAGCTCCTTGTGTTCCACTGGCCCACCCTGCCACCAAACAACTGTATGGATTTTGATGATGTGAGATGCCCTCTTCCCCAAGAAAGACTTGTTATACAACGGACAGTCATCCCACCCAGCTTTCCAAGACCTCTTGAGTCAGATATCATGTCCACTAGTCTAGACTTTATCAACATTAGACATAATAGATGGAACTGTAAGGAACAATACATAAGCAGTTCACAAGTAGGTTTTGCACTTAAGCCACGGCATTGCTATGCACTTCTCTGACAGAATTACAAGTGCTTTGGACAACATATGAAGGGCACACACGGGAGCATTAAAGGAAGAAGGCTTCTCCCTTGGAATACAAAGAGTGCAGTTACTAGACACAGGCTTCACATTTACAACTGCATGGGCTGACATTGGCGCCATTATAAGTGGAGATTGATTTCTGTAGAACATCTCCCTTCGGAGGAGCGGCCCTGTCATTCATTGTAGAATGAGAACCAGTCATGTTCTCCCTCCTACCCAATGCTCATTACCGGTTGGTGTTGGCTCGTTTCTTGTTGTTGTTTCTTCTTTCAAGTTTTAATGAAAACTACACATTCTTTTTTTGGGCCACTTAGCTTTTCAGAAGGAGTCACATTTTAAAACGACATTTAACACAGAGACCCTAGATGAGTGACTTGGAACCCAACCCGAATTGGACATATAAGTCATTCAGTATCAGGAGAAGTCCTCAGGTTGCTATTTTAACATGAACTGGACACCAGACTTGACAGAAAACATATCAAACTGTCATGAAGGACCTTTTGAAATCACAGTGGTGGAGCAAAACAGCAAAAGATTACAAATGCCCATTGACCTCTTACTGAAAATACAGACAAAAGCCAAGACTGCTTTATGTGAATGCCATTGCATTTTATAAACAAGGGAGGAGGACGCCTAGGTGATCATGTCGATGATTGTCCTCTCTGCTGTAGTTTGTAGAAATGAGCTTCCTTCAAGATCTGGTTAATGTGGGAGTAAGGACCATGGTCTTGGCCCAATGCATCATCCTCATGGGAGAACTCGGGGACATCGGAGTTAAGTTCGGCAATGTCCTGGTTTAAGCTGCTCTCTGGTACACTTTCTCTCTTGGTGTTATTGATGCTGCTGTCAATCTTTTCATTATCACTGCTTGATGACTGGAAGGAGAAAGACAGAAGGAGGATGGCTATTATGATACTGTCATCATTTCCTGTTCAGCTTGAAGAATACTGGCATCACACTCTACAAAAGGCTTCACAGTCTATAAAGTGCAATCACTTGGGTAGCTCATTCCTTTCTCACAGCAGCACTATCGCTCAAGCTGGGGTTAATGGTACCCATTTGACAGAACAGGAAAGAGATGTCCCACAGGCCCACAGGCCAGTCTCTGGGAATGTCAGGGAGAGGGTTCAAACACAGGCTTTCTCACTCCAAATGCCTCCACATATCCTCTGGCCCTGTTTGTACCGTGCATCCCAATTACCTGCACCAGGGAAATGTGCTCCCAACCTCAAGGAGAAAGCAGCAATCAATGCTGCAGACTGTGATAGGGATTTGATGAAACAAGTAAGATGGAATGCAGGTCCATGTTCCAATGTGGCAAAGAAATGATGGGGAATGCTCCATTTACATATATATACATGCACAGGTACACACACAAATAACAGGATCTTTCCATACCTGTCCCCAAGAGTGGACATAAGTGTTCTTCCTAAATTCAAGGCTCTACTCATATCTCAAAATGCCTTTGATAGTTTTAAATGACAGCTGTATGCCAACACTCAGCATTTCTAATGACTAACACCCCTTGGTCTCCTGTTTGTGGTTCAGTGTGCTTTCTATACTGTGGGGTTTCTCTTAATATGTTTTTTTCTGGATATAACTTCACCCTGCCACATTGGTGATACTATGTGTGATTCTCCACCCAAAAAGTGTCTTATTTTGTAATTCTGTAGATTAGGCATAGAACTCGGTGGTAACGTGCTTTCCTTACATGCATGGGACCTTGCTTTACAATCCCTTCGGTACAGGAACACACACTTGTGCAGACACTCATGGACTTCTTGCCTTTAATCTTAAGACTTTCAAAGGGGGAGGTGTTGATCACAATGACCCTTATCTGAATATTTATGGTGAACAATATTGGTATTGTATGACTTATAAGGCCATTTTTCATGTTTGTAGCTCTAAGAATGAGAGAAACCAAGATGAGTCGTCATTCTCAGGTCATGTGGACCTCCTCATCTCACTACATCACCCACAGGTATCATATGGCTGCACATATGCAATGAGATTCATGCATTCACCCACAGGTATCATATGGCAGTACATATGCAATGAGATTCATGCATTCAAAGACTGTCTGTGAGAGACACAGAAGGCTAATGAATCTCTGTGACTGTCAAATAGCTTTCCATGGTTTTCAGGGCTATGCTTGTGAAAGAGGTCTCTGAGGAACCCAGAGAAACTATACCGCTTAAAGGCCTCCAGTGGAAAAATCTAGATGTAGCAATTTTACTGTATGTTTTGCTTATAAACACTCAAAAGCCATGTAACCTGTCACATTGAATAGAATCACCCAGTACACACTCTGGTTTCCCTTCTCTGTCTGTCTCTGTCTTTCTCTCTTTCTTCTTTTTTCTTTCTTTTTTTCCTGCTGGACTATATTCTGAACAATATGGCAAGTAGGGGAACCATCAGAAACGAGAGCATATTAGGTTTACACTCTTGTGTCATGAAGATTATAGTATCATATGAAGAGGGGATATAGTACATTTAGTGGCTGAGGATATGGTGAGATGGATAGAGAGCTCACCTAGCACACAGGAAATACTGGGTTGAAGCCCAGTTTAGAACACCAGGTGCTGAGAAGCACTGGTGTAAAACCAGGTGGAGTTTGGAGGATCAGAATGTCAAGGTTATGATCATCTTGAGCAAAATAGTCATGTTGAGGTGAACTTGAGCCACCTGAGACCCTGCCTATGAGAACTTACAGAAAAACTCACAGCCCTGAATGGAATTCTTCAGAAACATTGAGAAGAAAACAATAGATGACCAGCCTCTCATTTCTAGTTGACATAAAATTTTTACCTCACTTATGTAGAGGCATCATTTATTACAATAATGTTCATTGATACTTTTTACAACTTCAGCATCTCAAATATTAACAACCAGGAATCAGTAAACACTTTTTACAAGAGAAAAACTGACAGGATATATTAGCACATACCTGTTACACCAGCACTTGGGAGGCAGAGGTAGGAGGGTCTGGAGGGCAGTCTAGATTATATACTGAGTCCCTGGCCAGTCCTAGCTGTGTATTGAGAATCTGCCAAAACAGAGAGCCAGACAGGTAGACAGGCAGGTAGAGAAGAAAAAAGGATAAACAACAGAAAGAAGACCAAAGTAAATCTAATTAATCTAAACAATATTATTTCTATTATTTAAATACAGTCTTCTGGCCTATTTCTGGTAACAAGGAGGGAACAGTTGTGTTTTTGATGATATAGAATGAAGTTCCTGATTTCTTATCGCATGTCGCTTGACAATTTTGAAGGGTAGTAAATAAATGTCAACACTAATAATTGTGCAGAAACAGACTAATGTTGTCTTAGTTACTTCCTATTGTTGTGAAGACACCATGACTAAGGTGGCTTACAGAAGAGCTGTTGGAGACCTACTGTTTCAGAGGGTAGTTAGAGTCTGTGACCACATGGAAGCTGTATGGCAGCAGGAAGGCAGGCATTGGCTGGAACCGGTGCTGAGAACTTTAACTGGACTCACAACCATGAGGCACAGAGGGGGTAGGAGTAAACTGGGAATGGTACGGCATGAGAGTTTGAAACCTCAAAGCCCACCCTCATAGTGACACACCTCCTCCAACAAGGCCACACCTCCCAATCCTTCCAAAACAGATTCATCTACTGAGGATCAAGCATTTAAATATATGAGCTATTGGAGCCATTCTTACTCAAACTACCACACACTTATACAGCTTGAGACAGGAAACCATTATTTCTATTTTTGTGATATCTTTACTTTCTGTCTCATCTATAGCAAGAGGTTTATAGACAAAGATTCACTTTGTAAGTCACTGAATCACAGAATGCTACCACAATGCCAATGAAAATCTAAGTGAGACTCAGTTCCTCCTGACTTCCAACAAGAGATTAGAGAAATGAAGTATAGTGCTGGAGAAGAGACCTTGGGAAGAATGCTCAGTGTGCTCCATTGTGGCGAAGACAGACTAACCTCCTACTCCCCAGCAGTGCTTTCTCCATCCACAGTGGCTATTCATCTAATCAACAGTCCTCCCCCTGACAAAGCCTGGACAATGTAACGTTCCTGCTGTGAGAATGACCTTGAGCAGGAATCTTTGAATTAAAGAAATATTTATGATGCAGGACCAACCGTGAGTTGGTTTACTGCTTGATCGCCTTGCCCTTTTGACAGCCCAAACTCCTCTTCATAACAAAATATTTTCATCTTCCTACACCTCAGTTTCAGAGGTGAGTTCTTTTCCCAGAACAAAAAAGACCCAAAATGCTTCAAAACTGTCCAAATTTTATTGACACATGAATGCTTCTTAGCATGTCCTGACTGGTCCCAGAAACGTCTCTTCAGAATGCCCACTCAAGTAGGAAACCCAATCCTTTAGGGAAAAAAAAGAAGATTTATTGGCTGGGTGGTAGTGGCACATGCCTTTAATCCTAGCACCTCAAGAGTGAGAAAGTTGGGTTTCTGTGAGTTCAAGGCAATATTAGTCTACAGACTGAGTTTCAGGACAGCCAGGTGTACACAGAAAAACCCTGTCAGAAAACAAACAAACAAAAAAAGATTGATTGATTTATGTGTTCTTGAGTATATGGTATGTGCACCATGAGTACTTAGGTGCCTGTGCAAGTCAGAACAGGGGGATGCATGCTCTCCAATTGGAGTTACAGGTGGATGGAAACCCCTCAGAATGGACATCCATGTCCTCTGAAAGAGAGGCTACAGTTCCCAACTTCTCAGCCATCTCTTCATTCACACAAAGCCCACTTTTGTGTATCTGCACTCTCAACACAGTTTATCACTTGTTTTGGGCACATCCTTGCAGGTCCACACACTCTATAAAATAGAAGCATATTTAAGAAGAATCTGGGGAAGAATACATTACCATTTAAAAATCCGAGGTGTGCTAAACAATGATGATGTGGCCCAGGTGCATGTGCATGAGCAAGGTTATACATTGTTCAAGGCCTTAATAAAGTCTGCATGTTTTCCTCAGAGCCAAAGAAGCTGTGTGGCCAGCAGAGAACAGGTATAATTCTATTTGAGGACAGGACAGAGAATCACCTGTGGTGTTTTTCTCTCAGTAGGCTCAGAGGCATACTCACTTGGACTGCACTTGTGAGAGAATGCCTGGGTAGGCACATGCCCTTTCGATGCCCAATCTACCCAAACACATGCTTGTGTATTTACTAATGGAGAAGGAATCTCATCCTGTCCCCAGAGGCCCCTGAGCTGGAACTGACCTGAAAGCCTCCTCCCTGAGGACTAGCTATCATGACTGACTACCTTTCATGAGTAAAAGCTTGCAAAAGAGGGATGCAACCAGCAGTCCTACCCAGCAATGATGCCTGTGGACTACTACGACCAACACGGTTAGAAAACCCTAAGGGTGTGATAGTGGCACAAACATCAATGGTAACCTGCAGACCCTTAACCAGCCTTAAGTCCTGATCATTAGGAGGGAAATCATACTTGGTACTGGAAACTTAGCCAACTACCCAAAGGTAGATGTAGTAATGGAATCAGGAGAACCAGTAACTGCCACTTTACCAAGACAGCATATTCCCTAACTACATTCCAAATGTTTACCTTAGACCCACAGAGAAGTGTGGTCTCCATGCATCATCATGGAAACTTCCTTATGCAACAGACAGAACCAATAAAGAAAAGCACAACTAATGAAAATGCAGAATTGTGGAGCCCCGTCACAACAGACACAACGAAAACAGTGGAAGAGGGGGCTGAAAGATTGTTAGAACCAGAGGATCATGGAGTTGACAGAGAGACTGTCTTCTAGAAATGAGAGAAACTGCACCCATAAAGTCTCACCACCAGGAGGGCCTAAGCATGAACAGAAGAACAATTGTAACAGACATGCCAAAGT